CATATATAATATTAATCGCTTGATTATTAGTTTATATAAACAAAGACAAAATACAATGAAAGAGATCAAAACAAAATCTGAATTTATACATATATATTAAAATGGAAGTTTATATTACATAAAATACACACACACACAAAATGGTATTAATACCTGAGACAAAAAAAAAAATAAACAGGACAAGCACAAAATATATAAATCAAAACATGTTTTTTTTTTCTCAAAATTTTTTTCTTGTATTAATAGGAATTAACTTCAAAATTCAATTATCGTTAAAAAGGAAATAATTGAATTTAAAATTTCTTGATATATCAAAAACAAGAAAATTGATGCTATTAATGTGTTGAAACCTTAATTATTTCAATCATCAAAGCATGTCTATCAGCAACTATCAGCAAATCTATGTAAGTAACATGACAACAAGCTTAAATTGTTTTTTTTTTATATAACTTCGTCAAACAATTTGATAGTATCTTCGCTAGTAAAGATGCACTATGTATGATCGACAATAAAGTCAGTATAGGCGATAAACAAGGAAAAAATTTACAATGAGGAAAAGTTTTCTGCATTTGTTATACACTCTTCTACTAGAAGAGTCAATAACATTGATAAGTTGCTTATCATCGTAGGTTGTAAGTGCACTTACTGACTTCATCAGTTGTGTCAATCTTGACTGCAAATTTAACTCAGTTATACTCATTGATATTAGGTCAAAAATTTCTAGCCGTCTTCATTTATATACTTATTCGCATAGGTCTTGTTTAATCCATTGATCCTTTAAAAATCTTTTCAAAGACAATTGAATTTTAAATGCCAACTCTAATAAATATATATATATACAAAGACAAAAAAAACACGAAGAAAAAAAGTAATAATAGGTCAGCTATTTTATCTTTTTTTTTTTTCTATTCATCGATCAGATAAAGATATTAATCTACGAAATGTTCTAAAAGTCCATAAAAAAAAAATAAAACTTAAATAACTCTTGAGCAGTTTAATCAATGAATATGTTTTATTCGGAATATTCCACTTAAAATGATTCTATCTATAAACTTAAGAATACAAATTGTTCTATTTATTGAATGCGATAAAGAAACGAGACATCAATATGGTATTACATAGTCCTCAAAAAGCTTTTCCTATCATAAATGATTCATAGAGATAATGAGTTCTAGAATCATGTCATTTGGCACTGTTCGAAATTTTTCTATAGCGACGCATAATAGATGATAACAATTAAATATTTACATTTCAATAGTAGTAAGAACTAATAACGAAACTAAAATGATTGCACAGCTAATTCTATATAATATGTTCTTTCAACTATAGTATAGCTTCTCTATCGTGGACACTTTTCTTTGTCGAACTGCGAAGTGTATACTATGAGAAGTTTTCCTATTTTTAAACACACTGAACTTGTGTGTTTCATTTCAATGGACACAAAAAAAAAAAACTTTAACTTATACAAAGTTCACGTATAACGTTTGAATTATTCAAAAGTTATTCATGTTTGTTTTTTTTTTTTCGGTGGACTTTAGAAACATTCTAGATTTCAAACACACATAATAATAGTATGATCATGATTCTTTTTCAGTTTCAATTTCTACGATATTTTTTTCATCATTGTTTAATATTCTACGAAAAAATCCTATTAAACTATCAAGTCCTTGTAAATAACCTCTATCAGGACCAGGATGATTATTTGATGAATCATCATTTGTTGTTGTATCATATATTGTATTAGCAAAATCAATCATGCGTACATCGATAAGTTTTGATTGTAATGAACCATCATAAACAATTAAAAGACTTCCACTATAAAAACGATATTTAACTAAAGAATTTATTATTATATATAACGATTCTAATCGTTCAATTATTTCAGGTATAACATCAAAACGTTGTGTAGGACCATTATCAAAGTATTGTACTAATGATAAATAAAATTCATCGACAGTTAACATTCGACCTCGATATTTATCTGTAAATTTATATCGACTATTATCTATTTGATAAACCTAGTTATAAAAATTTTCTATGATATTTTTCTTTCTTTTTTTTTTTTATTTATAATGAAATTACCTGCATGCCACATAAGCGAACACCTAATTTTGATGATGTTGATAATTCACATTTTCGTATTTTTGATTGACGTTTTTTATCTGAATCAATGTCAGCATATTGTCTTTTACCCATTTTTAAATCAAGTATACAAGGGTGATGAAATCGAGCTGTTACATTTTCTAATAATATATATTCTAAAATATGAAAAAAATTCTTTTATTAATTATTAATCACTACTACTATTTTTAGTAAATAAAATCTTACATAAGAGCTATGTCTAAATGCAAAGTTCGATGTGATCATGCGATCTGAGTACTTTCTTTTCTATTTGCTTGTTCCTTTTATTACATTTAATGTGTTACTTTGATTAAATATTGACATTTTTCTCAGGTATGTCTCGAGTGAAAGGTCTAAAGAACGATCCTTCGATCTTGGAAAATTTTCGTATTTTCTTTTTTGCTCACCAGTAGCCTTCTGACAAGAAAAGTCTTTCATAAAGATGTTCACATAGCTCATATAAACTAACACAATTGAAAAAAAATTTTCAAGTCGAAATTCGAAAATCAGTTTTTCTCTTATCAAGACATTTATTAAAAAAATACCGTAAAAGTACATTATCTCCGTTGTAATAAGCTAAGGACATTCATAATTCATATGGGACTACATAATATACATAGTCTGTACTCAAAAGCAATTAAACAGTTGGAAGACTTCTATCGTTAGTCATCCACCCACTTTATTAATTCTGGCAACCTTGAGACATTCTTAATTATTCTATATATGACAAAGTGTTGAAATTGTCGATCATACATCGTATCAAATCATTTGGGAGAATTCATTTATTTTCTCTTGACATTTCTTATTTTAAATAGTTTCTTGTTGTATTTAACATTGAAGTCGCTAATAATAGGAACTTGTGACCTTTCTTGAGTAATCAAGACGAACTAAAAATTTGACCTGATATTTTTTATCCATCACTAAATCTCATGATTTTCAGAACATTCTTATTCCACCTTCTTTGATACATTATTTGTTTCTTTATAAAAATAATAAATAAAAACATAATATTCGTAAATTTTCTTACTCTGTGAAACAGTAGCATTTTCATCGCCAATGAATTGTTCATGTAATTTTTCTGCTTGTTTTTTACATAATTGTAAACTCCATGGATTAATAACTGACATTGTAGTTTTTCCTTGTTCATAATTAACAATATCAATACCTAAACTATTTGAATAATCAATTGATCCATCTTTTGAACAACGTAATCTATAAAATATTATACATATATTTTTTTTTATTTAATTTAAAGAAGAAAGAACTTTATTATTATTGATACGAACTGTACTGATTTTCGTAAAATATTATCAGATAATTGTTGATCATTTATTAAAGATATATCTTGTTCATTTGATATAGATTCATTTTCTAATGAAGTTGTTTGTGGTCGAGCAACAAGTTTAATATAACCTGATTCATCTTCACAATATTGAACTGTAACAATACCTAGAATAAATTTTTTGACAAAAAAAAAAATTTCAAAAATAATAATAGAAAATAAAAATTTTTAACCTCGAAATTCTGGTGTAAACTTTTGTAATGAATTAGGCATTGATTGATAAAAATCTAATTCAGGTGGTGCAAGTAATTTGCAAATTGTATTTTTATCATATTGAAACATTGATGAATGACCGCCAACCTATAGAAAAATAAGTAAAACAAAAAAGAAAATAAGAAATATTTAATAATAAACAATTAGTTTTTGGTTTTACTTGATGAATAAAAGGCGATAATTGTATCAATGATGTTTGACTATATTCACAATCATTCATTCGGACCATTGAAATCAGTATTAATCTCAACACACAGTTGGATCAGATATGAATACATAGACAAATAAAAAAAAAAAATATATCTACAACATGAGAAAAAAATAGTACTACAAAAATAAGAATCGAGCAAAACAACAGCTGACTATTAATCTTCACTATTTTTTTTTAGTCATATCGTATGATTGTGTTTCGTTTTCTTTCAAAGAAAGGAAGAAGTAAAAAAAACGTTTAAAGAAACTATTCGAATTCTTAAGTACGTCAATAAGTTCTGCATTTTGTTTTTTTGTTTTGCAAAAATTCAGAATCTACGTCATGAAAAACTCTTGCGGCATATTTTGATTGCTTTCTTTTATTCTAAACCTTGGATATAAGACATATATGTCCATAAAGCGATAAAAGAAAAATGTGACAGATGATTAATTTCATGTCAGAGTGATTGACGATTTTTTTTTACGTAAACGAAATATAAAGAAGAAGAAAAAAAAGCATCAATAGAATAGTGATAAGTAAAAATCGTACTCTAATCTAGTGCTCGATTTGTCTTCACCTTTGTACTGTATATATATCATTACATTTTTTTAAATCAAAAGAAAGAAATGTAAAACAAGATTGTGTTTAAGAGTTGAGAAAAGATAAATACTATATCTCTATCAAACCAAAATAATAAAATAAAAGGTTAGAGTCTCTATTAAAAATGTACAACAATGTGTTCTCTACAAGAGTTCTATCTGACATATCCATTCACGAACGATGAATAGTTCTCCTATGCAAAAGATTGTAATACTTGACATGCTTGAATAAAAAGAAAGAGGGTCAACAGGTGTATTCATGGTTGGAAAGAAAAATAAATTTCTAGGAACAAATAAAAATCTTTATTTCCATTTTGTATGTTTTTCTTTCATTCGTTTATAATAATCAGTTGACACACTTTTGTTCGTTGAACTATTTTGTTTTGTATGTGAATTTATAGATCTGTCAAATAAGAACCAATCAGATTTAAATCATCAAATTATAGAGGTTTGTACTAAGCAATAATTCTTTCTTATGGCGTCTATTTACTTTTTGATTTCATTCGTTTTCTGATTTATACGAATCTTTTAAAAAATGTATTTCTTTGAATTATTTTCTCATGCGGATCGATTTCCATATCGTACATATTTATTTTCAAGTGCAACATATGTTTTTATTTCATTTACAGCATTAACATTATTACCACCATTTTTATTAACATATTATACAGGTGATTTTTGGATAAAAGAATCTATTTATAGTGAACAACCACGTATTCATAATCAAACAAAATATATTCTTATAGCTGAAAATAATGATGCGACTAATAATCAATTTTTTCTATCATCTTATTCAACATTAAATAGAAATTTTCAAGAAAGTCTTATTCCAGGAAATACAATTGAATCATTATATGATGTTGATGGTGATGGTTTAATGGATCAATTTCGTATTTCATTTGATTTAATATTTGCACAATCTAATACTGTCATACGTAGTATTAATATTTGGTTAATATTTCAATATGAATTACGTGAAAAACAACGTATTAATATGGAAACAATGGCACTGATAAATATTGTTCCACCTTCTATACTTACTTCTAATTCAAATGCAAATCTAACTATTTATGGTCAATTAATTTTTAATCAACGACAAGCGATAAAAAGTTCTGGTAATGATTCAATATATGATAAATCAATAATTGATACAAGTTCATCATCAATACTTGATCTTAATTCTATTCTTCGTGAATATTTTGCAAGAAAATATTATACATCATATCAAACACAATATACATGGACAACACCCCGAACAACAACAACCAGTACTAGTAATATATTAACAGTTAATGTTCTTGTTAATATTGGAAGACAATCAATTCGATTTACACCTGGATTTTGGCAAGATTTTAAATGGGGTTGGATACAATATATATGTGTACTTGTACCATTCATAATGGTATTTAATCGATTAAAATTATTTGTTTTTTCAAATAATCTTGTACGAACATTAGCTCCACCATCATATCATCCACATCAAATGTAGATAAAACATTTCATGCATGTTTCTTTTTCTTTGTCTAGTTGAATTTTGTTTGTTCGTTTTTTTTATTTGTGAGAAAAAAACAAGAAATGAAATAAATCATTGAGAAAACAACGTTAGATTGTAAATAACATGTATAGATAGAAAACGTATGTATGAGTAAATTACTACTTTTTGATAAGATTAATGCGAAAAAGTAAAAATAGATCAAAACAATTTCTCAGTAATACTTTTTATTATACTCTATACTGATGTTACATAGCACAAGTTTTCAACACTGTACGCTTCATTTCAGGGTGGGCATAACATGAACAATGTTATTTTAATGGAAAAATCAGTTAGAGTTCATCGAAATTTTACGTGTGAAACTGCTTTTTATTCCGTAGTCCATATTTACAATGAAAGTATAACGACCTTTCAAAATGCAATGAGTTCAATGATATAAGGTGCAATCCGTGTCGATTAGTAGCAGACTTAGGGATGTTCGAAGAGGAGTACTGGATAGGAAAAAATACACACTATTCAATAAAGACCTCTGAAAAAAAAAGGTGAAGTCAAGTTTACAATGAGATGCGACCGCATCCTCTGGATCCGTTACTGGTAAATTATTTTATTTATCGTTTTTAAACTGCATTTGTAGACTTTTTTTCCAATATATTCATGATATTAATTTTGTTTTTAATATTTGTCTCATTCTTTTTCTTGAATCACATTCATGTTTAGTAGGTTATTAAAAAACTTGTTGCTTTTTTTTTCTCAATTCTTTTGTTTTATTATTCAAGGTGTTTTGGTATTATTATATTGAATGAGAACCATATTTTCGTTATATGTTATTATTTAATATATCTATCAGTGTTTTATTATAAGCGGAGAATAATTGCTCGTTTTGTATTTTAATATAAATATTGATTAGATAGTATGTATTCGATATCAAATAAAAAGATTTAATCTATTGAGAATAAGAAAAAACAATATTATAATAAGTATTGAAGCATCCATCAAACAACTTTAGCAATAATGATTTCATTAATAATTTTCAGGAATGATTGTTGAGTTTGTCTACTAAATTATATATTCATATCTAACATTTTGTCAAACGAATTCAAATAAGAAATGAAGTGAAGCATAAATAATATGATTGTTGTCGATATTTTATTAATTTTGAATAATTAAATATTGTTGAATTAAAATACTTTTTTTTTACTGTAAAAACAATCTTCATGATTTTGTCTATTTTACTATTAAGTATTTCAAGAATTTTTAGAAGGTGAGGTTGGCTAGTCTTCTATGTCTTTAATATAAATCAATCTGCTAGTTCCAACAATTGCTTTTTTAGTAGTTGATTTTTATCAAGTTTCGATTAACTAAAGAATAATTGTTGTTAAAAAATAAGTAAACATATAGTACCAATAACAACCTAAATCAATTTTCAGCGTCTGAATATTATTTTGAGTCTGAAACAAGGCTGTTGAGATGGCCAGGATATGATGACTACATATCTGAAATTTGTTTTTTAAATCCGATGGCATTCAGACGATATAAATATGCAGAAAACGATACTTAACAGTTGATACTCAACTTAATGACAATACAGATAGTTACATAATGTACCATTATCACGAATCGTCTTGATAATTTTACGATACGTTGCTATATTAGCAATATAACATTCGAAAGATAGAAATTATGTTGACTTTTGAGTAGATCGATAAACTATGTCTATGATTGAAGCACGATGCTCTGAAAAGTTGACATACATCAAGATAGTCTTTGACAAATCTAAGAAACTTCAAAAATCAAGTCAGAATAATTGTCACTGTATTTATTAAGGAAACAAGTATGTCTTCACACACATAACACAAATGATACTGGGAAAATACAACAATAGGAATAGAATAGAGATTTGCGATAACGTTTCGAAACACCACAGTGTCTCGTCTTCAGAATGTATATACATACAAAACTTAAATGATTTTTTTTATTAATAAAAGAAGAAAGTATATATAAAAGAGAATCAATGCCGGAATTTAAAAATACTAAACAAAGAGTTGTTCTTAAAGTATTGACTACTAAATTTGGTTTTCAACTTAGAACAGGTAATGGTCGCCACGGGTGTCATATAGTTCGTGGTAATCTTAGTATTCCGTTTCCTACCTACGATATTTTTGAAACTAACTTACTAAAGGATATTTTGAATGAAGCAGGTATTACTAAACAGGAATGGTTAGAGGCTTAAATGAACCGTATGTTTTAAAATCTTCTTATAATTATTATTTTACTACACCATCAGATTGAAGAGTTGTGTAGCAAGTTGCTACTGGCAACTCTTCAATCTGATGGTGAAAAACATTAGTGAAGGATCTCAGACTAAGCTATAATTGTTATTATTTCTCTCTTATAAAGTTTTCTTTGTCTAATGAATATTGAATAGTGGTAATATGAAAATTCATTGTTAATAAAATCACACCATTCAACATTCATTATGATTATTAAACTTTGTATGTATATTCATTTACGTTTCGGTCATGTCCTAGGACGACCTTCGTCAGATCGCATGAAGAAAAACAGTCCCAAAGACTTCACAACTTACACATAATCAATTATTTTGAAAGTTTATTGCGTCGAAATATGTTAAGCCATATTTGCCTATCTACTGAATTATTTGTGTTCATTTTATGAAATGGAAATATACGAGTATTCTTATTATCACGAAAACAAATCTTTTTAACGTTAAATAAAGAATCCGTATGATCAATTGAATTTTTTCCACATTTTTTACAGTTCTGTTTATAAATAATAAAACGAGTATGACAATCGATTGAAGTATTGCATCGAATATTTTCGTCGTTGGTAGTGGTACTTAGTCGACTGCATATTTTACATCCAGCTTGTCGGCATGACGTTGGACAGGGTGGATGTGGGCATAGGTGTGTGTTAGTGAAGAAAGTAATAACCACACTCACACCCAGCGAAATTTCTATCTGTGAAAACAGTTCGTTTTTCTAGATTTTGACATCGGAAAGCTGGAAATATCTTCGTTTGCTAGTTTTGCAATGAATCAATCAATATCTATTTAATTTCAAGCGAAAACTCATATCATAATGGTATACGTCTTCTGTGACACGAGACACAGCAGTACAGTTTGTATGTACTCTTCTAATATCATGATAAAACGCTTCACTCACACTTGATAGGAATCCAAGGTTAAAATTTACTTAAAATAATCTGTTAATCGTAGTAAAAGAGTGAAAATAGAATTTCCAAACATTTCTGACTGAACTTGAAAATGGCCGAATATTTAGCAACGAATCCAATTTTACATTTTAGGGACTTCCTTTGAATACATACCTAAATCTTGCAAATTCTTCTACGTTAACAAAACATGACTTTAACAACTGATCGTAACAATTTTTCTTCGATAGTCTCGAATTCAGTTATTAATCTGTCAACAATTTTATGCAATAATGTATGTATGAAAGAGTGAAGATCTTTAACTAAGAATATCAGTTGGAAAGATAGCTTACTTGATTGACTTTTAGTGCATTACCAAATGTTGTGCCCTCAGTATCACTGATTTTGTTATTATAACGAGATAGTCCCTTGAATGTCTATATGATAGAATTAAAGGAGATAATGAGAGCCATATTCTAACTCTACATAACGTCTTTCGATATTTGATAATGTACAATCTATCGATATACAATAAGCTACTCTTTTGCTGTTGCAAAGTGTGTAGCAATTTTAGACATTTTACGGAGAAGACTTGATTTTGTACCAGCGTTAAGTTCTATGCTCATTTTCTCTAATTAGAAACAAGTTCTGTAATCGTAGATGGTCTTGAAAGAAAGATTTTTCTCATAAAATAAACAGTCAAATTGGAATTCTTAGTAATATTTTCTGTGTGAAATCTGATCGGATATGTTATCTGTATGCCGTCGAATTTTTTTCTAAATTAATATCATCGGATAGAAAAAGTACTAATTCACTTGAAATATGAGTATGACTGATTGTTGACAAAATCTATCTCAAGACTTAAGTGTCATTCCTTATTATTCTCATCAGGTCTCAGTTAAAATCTGATGCAAGTTTAAATGATTGACATATGTTCGACTTATTCACTTGCTCAATTTTGAATATAAATCGCAAGATACCAAGATCCTTTCAAAAATAATGATACGAACTTGATTACGAACATATGTACTATTTGAAAACATCAAATATTACAGAGATCTTATTCATGATTTCCTTGCGAATAATACATTACTTAGTAGCTATTTAGCATAGGGAATCCGGCACTTCAATTGTCACGAGTGAGTAAGAAGTTGGCTAAAAATATATTTGCTAAGATTATTTAGAGCAATAAGATTTTAGAAGAAAAGCTCATACTGGGTGGGGGTGCAGCTCTTTAAGCAACACCCCGCACCTACACCTATATCCACCCACACTCGTACCCATACACTTTTTTTCTCATCTAAAAGAGAAAAATGTCTGAAACCACGGAAATCTATCTTTATTGTTTATTGTGATTACTGACAAAAATATTAATATGAATTATTGAATCAAATCAGAACAAAACTTTCGACATAATTGATTAGTGTAGCAGTATTTAATGAAAAAAATTATCGTTTTGTGCTAAAAGAGCATGAAAATATTAGTGATTCAATTGCCCACCGGATGCTACCGGTAGAGATAAGAAATAAAACTCATTTGCGCCATATTTGATTGTTATAGACAAGTGAAAAATCTAAAAACTATTGTGCATATCTTTGCCAACATGTTTTGGAAATAAGGTTTCATATATTATATCTAATCAATCCATACTATTTATTGTTTTTTCATTAGATGCAAATGTATTGCCCATTTAACAGCAATTGTTTTATCATAAATATCATCGCGATCATTATTACCAATAATATCATTTGATGATTCTGCATAACACTTAGCCAGATTATCTGCAAATGTCTTTAATAATTGTTTGAATTGATCTTCTCCATGACGTTTAC